TTTTTGCTATTATACAGGGGCTATGTGATAGTGTTTGGAGGTGACATGTTCTCTTTATAGACCATGCCCTCCAATACAGGAAATTGAGCAAAGCATTGTGCTAGATCTTCTGTGCAGCGCTCCTGTCTCACTGCTCACATACCAGATTGGAGAACAGACGTTCTCCGGGCTGCTCCCATCCTGAAATCATTGCCATTGCCCAGGGTCCCCAAGAAGAGCGGGGTACCCCAAAAACCACAGCGGGGTGGGGGGGGAGGGCTTGGTCAAGCAGGCTGCTACAAGTGATACAGAACTTGTACAAAACTAGTGCAGGCTCCCCTGCTCTACATTTAGCCCTGGTATCCAGCAGCAGGTCTAAATGTAGAAAAAAAAACATCTGTCCGGCGCCCTGCAACTGCATGTCCCGGGCGTCAGAAATCCCACATCCCTGCGCTAGTGCTCAACAAGCATCCCCCAATTATTAGAATGCATCTTACATACCCAATCTATCTAATGAGACTGTCACAGGTCGGCTCAGTAGATCGGGAGGTGAGCGAACACATACCGGCGTTCGCTCACCTCTCGATCCTGTCACGGCTCTCTGCCGTGACAGGGGAGGGGCTGGATTCCCCCCTCCCCGCTCTGATCCTCTAGCGCTGACTGGCGGAACAGACGGGGGAGGGGGCGGGTACAGCTGGCTCTGCCTCTAGATAGGCAGAGCCAGCTGTCAGTCACGCAGCTGGGCGGATCCCGGCACAATTGTCGGGATCCGCTGCAGCTGCGGCGTCTCAATATACCGCGAGCAGCTGCTCGCGGTATACTGCGGCGTCTCAGTATACCGCGAGCTACAGCTCGCGGTATACTGAGCCTAGGGTGACGGGAGGACCCTAGTTTGTGTCCTCCCGTTACCCTAAGGAGAACTATGGGGAAAAGACATAACCCCATAGTTCTCCTTTAATCACTTGGTCTGTCTGAACTTACTATAGAAACACTAATGCTTCGTTGTCATTCTTATAATCTCCTTCTACTCTTTGGAGCTCTTCCCTTGCTTTGGAATCTCCTGATAGATTCGATGCTCTGTTCCCTTTTCCCCTCCTTTTTTATTGCTTTCTTTCTCTTTACAAATATCTTTCTCTATGCTCTGTTTACCAACCATTTCATCAAACTGTTTTTTATATTGAATTATGATTGAACTGGGTTTTAGCTCATGAGAATCTCTTTTCAGCTGGCTTTGAGTTGCATATGACTGTGATTTTACCATGTGGATGTCTTTTATCATCACCACCACCACACATGCTATTGATTGGGGATTTGTTTTCTTCCTTATTGTAGAATAGTTTGTATTGGCATCTTTCAAATTTACTGTGATGATGTATACACTTATGATTTACACTTACCTTATGAAGATGCTCCTAGATGTTGAGATGTGTCATGTATGTTTATTGTTACATATTTTATATGTGATCTTGTGTACTGTTCTTTATAAAGGCGATCGTAGTGCGTCTGTGTGAGTTTTATTGTATAGCTTTACTAACAATTTTGTCATCTTTAAAAGGCATTCGGCAAACTTATTTCTATTACAAGACAGATTTAGCATGTTTTTAGCAATAAAATACAAAAGATTAGTGTGATTTTGTTGTGAAATAATTTTATTTTTTTCATTAAAAAACACTATAAACAACATGACATTAATATATGTGTTCAAGCACTGGAAAAGTAAAATGTTCATAATTATAAAAAAATAACTTAAAAAGCAGTTCCAGGCAACAAGTGAATTAATCAATCAACTACTGAACTACTAATCCCAATCTGTGGGAAGAGCCAAGATCTACAACCAGACTAAGGCTGAAGTGAGTTTTGGGGGGAATATGAAAATCATTTTTGTTGTAGGTTAGCTTTTAAGACAGCAGAGGGGAGCACAGTGAAAAATGTTGGCTTGGCAGGGGATTTCAGTTCTACTTTAAAGGAGAACTATGAGGTGAGTGAAAATCACTCAGCCTCATAGTTCCAGCCAACGTGTGACAATGAAACTGTCACAGGTCGGACGCAGCTGGGGGGATCTCGATCCGTCCTGGCTGTGGCGGTCGCTAGTTTGTATCCTCCCGTTACCCTTAGGAGAACTATCGGGAAAAACACTTACCCCATAGTTCTCCTTTAAGGCCTTATGCATTTTGGTCATGCTCTTTGAGACCTCTTTCTACCTAGAACAAAAAAACTGAGTACATGAAAAAGTCATGTACAATCGGTTGTTTGCTTGCCCATTTACATGATAAGTGCCAAAAATATGGAGAAATAAATATTTTTTTTCCCTTTACAAACTCAAAACACATTTTTTACAATAATTTTTTACTTTTTATAAACTGAAAAAGCACACATTCTATATTTTAAATACCAGTGCAAGAGAAATGTTTGCGGTGTGTCAGACATTCATGACAGCTGGGATTTGTATTAGTACTAATGTGTACATTTTCAGGACTGTTTCTGCAATAGTACTACACTCACCTGTGACAGTTGGGTAAATTCTGCTGCCACCTAGTGCCTCAAGAAAAGAATTACTCAAATTTACATTGCACTAGATTTGTAGTTTATGTCCATTTATGTGTTTAGGCATGCTATCGTTATATACCAATATTATAAGTAATACTATTTATAATGCTCAATATTCTGGTACTTTTACAAAAGATATTAGGGGGAATCTATCAATTTGGTGGTATCTTGAGCATCTTTTAAACTGTCACATCCCTGAATTCCAGGGCATATACCAACAGATTTATTATCCTTGTTTATGTTTCATTCTTAAATTCTTTCATAAGGTGAATTGTTGGGAACTTGCTGGGAACCTCCAGGATGACTGCTGAATAGCCATGAAGTTCTCAGCTGACTTGAGGATATGAAGCAGAGTTATCTTTGTGATACTTTAAGAAGTGCTCAGGAGCACTACTAGAATGTGCGACAGTGTGGAGGGTTTTTAATGTTGCAAATGCTGGACGCAAATACTGTACATGTGAGAAATTATGCAAAATGAGTGCGGTGAGTCGCAAATGTGAATATGCCTCAAGAACACTTCAAAAAAGGTGCATAACAGAGGTAAAACTTTGCAGTTTGTCTGACATTTTGGCCTTTAGAACAAAACGTTTTGTTGCAAACCCGTTTATAAATTCCCCCCATTGAGTCTATTAGAAAAGTGGGGTAAGAAACACTAGTATATGCATATTAGATCAGACAATATAATAGCATACAGTGGATTATTAAGTTGCTGATCATTAATTATATTTAGATTATGTGTTTTTACTATTAGTACCCTTACAGGAATGCAGTGCTCAAACCACTTACGTCCTTGCATTGTGTTTTAAGTTTAAAGAAGAACTCCAGGGAAAAAAGTATTAACCCTTGCAGTGCGGCTACCCCCTCACTGCAACGGTTAACTACTCATTTTTGTGTAGGTGCTAAAAAAAAAAAAAAGGTAATACTCACCCGAACTGGTGAACTGAATCCCTGCTTCTCCGGTCCCTGAAGCGTGTCTCCGGTCCCTGAAGCGTGTCTCCTCCTCCACTGCACAGATGCAATGTTCTTCAGCCTCCTCACGTCCATACACTTGTATAGAACGTGATGACACAAGGATTCTTAGACTGTTGCAGAGGAGGGGGGAGAGGCCCTAGGGACTGGTCTGAGAACAAACCGGTTGGAATGATTGTGTCTAGGTGCTAAAAAATGTTATACTCACCCACACAAGCAGTTAACCCTTGCAGTGTGGGGTAGCCCCATTGCAAGGGTTAATACGATTTTTCCTCAGAGTTCTTCTTTAAGCTACATTTACTGAACATAACTGGGTATTATTAAATACCTTCAAGGTAAAACATAATTTTATCCCTTAATGTTTATTAAATATATTTTACATAGAATTAACATAAGGGCTTAAATTAGTCCTACTCTTGGTATCATGTTATCTTCTCAGCAGAACTGAGAGTTGGAGGGTCAGCACTATAAGCCAGTTATGGCTTTGTTTTAAATAATGCTTTCCTTGCACCTCTGAACATGGTTACAGTAGGAGAGAGAACAAGGATGACCTAGTTTGTGTGCTGCTACTCCTTAATTTACAGGCTGAAGGGAGTCCTGGGCCAAGTTGTACTGCTTAATTACAGTGCAGTTATTGGATAGGTTCAAATCCTGGCTGCATTGTCTAGTAGGGATACCTCAATTATAAAGGTTGAACAGAATTACAAATCCTTTGGGAAATAAAACAATTCAAATATGTACAATAAGTTCCCTATGTTTTTCAAATACAGAATAATTAGTTATCCTCTGCAAGTACCAGGGGAAGAGTTAAAAAAAGACAAAAAAAACTTTTACAATGTTTTAGGTGGAGTTCCAGGTTTACATAACATGCAGCCATCTATTATTTATCAGCAGTTTCTTCATTGGTGGACAGTATGCTGCTATAATAGTGATTCTGGTTTTTGTGATAATCATGCTCTCATCACGATTGGCTACAAATGGCCCATTTCGCGCAAATCTATTTTCCAAGGGACGATAGCAATAAACTGTTGCTGATAAGCAACCTACCAGTGACAACATAAAACTGAATTCACAGTTATGTTTGTAGCTGACCTGAAACATACATGATCTTAGATGTAAAGTAAAAATGTAACACAGAACTTGATTCCATGGCTTCTTCTTATTTCAAATGCATTTTTGCATTTCTTCAATTGCTGGTGGTTGATCGCCTAAGGACACAAAGAAAGAAATATGCTGTACAGAAAAGGGAAAGCAGTACTCTTAACAGGCTACACACCATTTAAAAAAATAAATATATATATCCATCTATCTATATATATATATATTAAATAGATAGATATTACACAAAAAATTGATTGCCTTTAAAAAATAATACTGATAATGCAATTGTTAGGCTTTGAAGATCTTAATTTAGCATAATGATGTTTTTTTGGCAGAGATTACAATTTTTGCAGCTCAGCTAAAATCTACAGAAAACAATCTTTTTCTGTTGGCTTATTTGTAGGCAGCCAACCCACATATTCCTTATGTCCGTGGGCAAATGTTAAGCCAGACATATTGTGTTTTAGTTCAATTATCAAACAATCATTAAAATGCTTCCTCATACTAGGGGTCACAAGTGCTAGCTTGCTTCTCTCTGAGCGGTAACGTGCCTTCTAAGTTAGTGTCAGTAGTATTTCTGGATAACTTACGACTTCTTTTCATAGTCTGGATGCGTTCAGAAAGGTGTTTCCGGAACTTCTTGGTGAGAAAGCAGTAGATAATAGGATCCAGCATGCAGTTGGTGCTCATAATGCACAATGTGATTTGATGTGCATCATTCAATGTCTGTCGAAAGCCACAGTCATTCTCATGCCACAGCCTCAGCACTGTGAGAGTCCAGGGTCCATGCACAATGTGGTGCGGGACAAAACATAGCACAAAAACTCCAAGTACTGTGACTACCATGTACAGAGCACGACGTTTCATCTCTACACTCTGCTTGGCTGCCACTGACTGGGTGGTTAAAGTTCTAAAAATCACCACATTACAAATTAATATGATGAGGAACACAACAAAGAAAGCAGCAATTAGAATGAAGTGGATGACAGCCACAGGGTCCCTATTATCTAGGTTGTATCCTTCAAAGCAGCGGGTGTAGTTAAGTCCATCATTAGTTTGTACCAGATTGGTGCCGGGTGTAACAAGAAAGTACAAAGAGCTTCCGAATACGACTATCCACACAGCAGTGGAAATGCAGATCCCTTTTATCCTTGCTGTTGATTGGGCTATTTCCACAGGCTTTGTTACAGCCTGAAATCTGTTGTAGCTGATGACTCCTAGAAAGGCTACTGAGCAATATGTGTTAATGAAAAAGAAACAGCCTGCCACATTGCAGAGAAATGCTGGCATTACCCAGTCGCCTCTATAATTATAGTAAACAATCCAGAGAGGCAAAGTCACTAAGAATAGGAGGTCGGCCACCGTGAGATTAATCATAAAAATTTTGATATCACTCAGCCTCTTAGCAGGATAAAGCTTTGCAAAAACCCACAATACATAGCTGTTGGCAACGAATCCAATGATAAAAATAATACTGTAAGTCACTGTAAAGAATTTGTATCTGAATTCAGAATCCACATTACATGGGTCCTCTGTGCTGCTATTTATTTCCGGAGACATTTTTCTGAAACACAAAAAAAAAAATGTGATCTGCAGAGAAGAAACACACTGATAACTTTAGATTGTGTTTTGTTTTTGATTGGTCACTTTTCTATTTTTTTCATAGCATAGCAGTTGGTACAACAGCATTGATTTAAATGTACACAGTTGAGCGTAACCTTATGTGCAAATTTTCCTCTCTCTGTATCTAGTTCATTTTTATTTGAGGGCAAATGGATGCAGAAAAAGTATGTTCATTACTGCTAAAGCATGGGGAAAATTGAGGAGACCAATGACAGTGGAGTTAACCAAAACCAACACAGCACCCTGTATTTGAACTAGTGTGAATCTCAATACATTTTATCCCAGAGTGCCAGGGAAAGCTCAACAACAAGCTCAAACTTCTGTTATTTGCTCTTGTATGTACAAGCTCTCAGAGCTAATGAACCTAAGTTGTTTTTAAGATTACAATGTGCTTGGTTCTAAACATAGGCTAGGTGGAGGTACCAGTGGGGTTTATGTTCAATACAGCTGCATCCCTATGTGAGTAGGTTGAGTTACAGATTGCCTCTGCTTTTTGTCATCTCACCCTACCAAAGGGGGGCAGTGTACTGCGTACAAAAGAATAAACATTTTGCAACTGATGCTTAAATTCTTTATCCATTGCAAGTGGTTCCACACCAATTTAAAGCCCAACGTAAGTAACAGTCATAAATATGCAGTACATTAATTGTGCATATAACTTCCTTTTTCGTAGTCTTTGTGTTACAGCAGTTGTGCAGTGTTTCGCAGTGTTTCTAATTATGACTGTGCAGTCCAATAATTATACTCCATAATCAGCTCTTAAAGTGATACTAAACTCAGGAGTTAAATCTTAAAAATACATTCAAGTACCTCCACTATTAACAAAAATGTATCTTATTTGTGCATCAGTCAGCTGTAGATCCTCAAATCACCTCTGAATTTGTACTCACTCCCATAATGGACTATGGTCTCAATACAAATTAGTAAACTAAATGTGAGACTATAGTCCACCACAAGAGTGAGCTTGGATACTACTTAGCTATGCCAGCATAGTGCTCTGGTTTGGGAGAACAGGATGCAGCATTTCCACGGTGAGCAAAGGCTGTTTTAAGGTGTTTCTAAGCAAAAATCAATCACAAGTCACAATGTGCAGAAGTATAATGAGATTTAAATTGGGCTTCAATCTGGGAAATTCGATAGCTAACCTTAGGGTAATGCTTAAAGGATAATGCTTAAAGTATAAAAAGGAGAATCTGCCTACTAGTAGATACAGTATAAGGACCCAAATCGTTGCAAATATTAGTAATGTGGAGTCAATAGTGGAGCTATGAAGAGCATTTCTATATCAATAAAATAGAGAGGGTACCAAATCTGCGGTTTAGATTGGTTGATGAGCTTTAAGAATAGCCAATAAACCGCTACAATGAACATGTATAAATGATCAGGGTTATTCACAAAAAGGGTGAAGAGTTTGGAGAAGGCAGGAGAAGTGAACAATCTAGGACAAAATAGCTGATTCGGAAAAACTCTCAAATTCAGCTCACTTTCCAGTTCAGCTATGTTGTCCTAGATTGTTCACTTCTCCTGTCTTCTCCTAACTCTAAGTAATTTTCATTTTATATAAACATTGCTGAGCTCTTATATTCCTAAACAATGTGACATTGGCTATGAATTCTGAAATGTTAAAGACTGTAGACAGAAATAAATTAAATCATTACCTTCTAACCAAAGGCAAATGGATTCTGCCTCCTGTGGTTTGGTCTTCTCACTGCTTCATTGATATTGGTTATTGCTGTAATGATGCTCTTCTTGTTTTAACTTGTAAATCATACAGGATAGATTGCAAAGTAAACCTTTTAGAAAACGGCAGTTAACAGGAAGCCTCCAGCATCTATTGGAAAAAAAAGGAGAAGTGGTGAGATGTAAGACGTGTTTCACAAATCTGGATTTTCGTAACTGAGAGTTCTCAGTGCTGTCATCATGTACAGGTTTCTGAGTCACTGTACAGCCTAGCCCTGGAGCTGAAATAATCTGTCACATAGTATAGAAAGTTTGTGATAATGAAATAATGTTCTGTTATGGCATTATATCAGGCCATAAACAGGGCTGTATTTAATATGTGATTGACTGTACCAGTGCCTGGCACAACAGGGTTGGGAAGCTCATCAAGCCTTAGAATTTACAATTAGTGGTCTTTGTTTCCTTATTTTGTTTCCTTTGTCTGTTTACCTTTGGACATATTGTGGTTAAATTTAGCAAGATAACTGGTAACGAGGCGCAGAAGATGTTAAGAGGACTCATAAAGACTCATTATATTTGAGGAAAAATACTAGATCTCCTTTCTCCTGTTGGTGGTCTGCAGAGTAGAAAATTAGTTTTTCATATATAATGTGAATATCCCACCTTTAAAAGTGTAATATGAATCCATTATATCCCAATATACGGTAGTTATGGACATATACATTTTTGAAATCATACAGTGCAATTACTGTGCCCATTATGGCATGCCCCACTTAGCACTCAGGTAAAATTAAATAATGAATCTGTAAACAAGGAATAAAACATTGAAAAGCTGTGTAGGGGCCACCAATGAAATTGAAGGGGATCAGAAAAACCTGGAGGAAAGAGGGGACAATACCAACTAGTGGCAAGTGAGAGGAGATCAAGTTCCCAGAGTATTTAATACTGTCCTATCCCTTAAGGGAGACATATAGAACAGGGTTAAGATCAATAGGTCATTGTGATCATTGGACAGCAACTATAGTATTGTAGAGATGTAGATTGGGTGGGAATTAATGAGATCTAAGGAGGCCCAAAGAGGGACCTTACTGGAAGAATGAAGATGGGCTAACGGCACTATGTTAGCTGCCAAGTAGCAAAAGCACTAAGCCGTCTGCGGGTTTGAAGCAATAAAAGTCATGACTGATCCTAGGTCTGGAGTTACCCCAAATAAAGAAAAGTACCTTGTGCTGGAGTATCCGAAGTACGTGACTCGGAATCGAGATGGAAAGAACCCGAGAAACATACAACAATTTAGGAAGGTAAGACATTTTAATGGCATGAATCCTACCTATCCAAGGAATAGGAAAGCACCACCAAGCGTCCAAAAGCTTATGGAAGTCATTCAATAAGAGGCGAATATTAGCCTCATAAAGAGAGTTGTACATCGGAGTGAGAACTATACCAAAGTATTTAAGAGTGGAGGTCCAGCGAATAGCAAAGTAGAGCGATAACCTGCTCATTGTCAGGCAATGTAAGTATTGCTCTAGGTGGCTTGCACTCAGGGTAGTGCATCAGGAAATGGTACAACATGATGATGTGAGCAGTTAGAAATGCTAAAGAAACAACCTACAGCTTTCAATACTCCAAAGCAAGGGTAAAAACTAGGGATGCACCGATACCACTTTTTTAAGGCCGAGTACGAGTACAGATACTTTTGATCAAGTACTCCCAGATACCAATTACCGATACTTTTTCTTAAAGGGACAGGTCACATTTTTTCTAAAGCAATACAAACTAATGCTTTAAGGTCCCTTTCTTAATATTATGATTCATGAGATGACGAGGGAGCATGACGCCGGCTTCCCGGCCAATCAGAATGCCGGGCGCTGCGTCATTACACGGCGCCCGGCTTCCGGATTTGCTAGCTTCCTGACCAATCTGGAAGCCGGGCAGCGCGTCATTGCACGCTACCCGGCTTCCTGATTGGCCGGGAAGTTGGCTCCATGCTCTCTCATCACAAGTGATGAGAGAGCATGGAGCCGTTTCCTGGCCAATCAGGAAACCGGGCAGTGTGTAATGATGCGCTGCCCGGCTTCCTGATACAGGAAGTACTAGTGCTAGGTATCGGAGCATTTGGGCGAGTACGAGTACTCACCCAAATACTTGGTATCGGCGCCGATACCGATACTAGTATCGGTATCGGTGCATCCCTAGTAAAAACTATGTTTTGGCCTGGTGTATCCAAGAACACAAAGCACTCTAATTTCAGAGGACACAGTTTTGCTGATTCTGGAATATTAAAAAAAATACCACAACATTCTAAGACTATTAGGTAGAATTTTCACCCTGCTATTACCAAGCTCAAGACTGTTTGCAAGATATGGTGTTACAAAGTAGATCATTGTAGACAACATGACTTTCTGCAGGAAAGAGATGCATACTTTTGCATCACATTGGGGAATTTCCTTAGCTCACACTACTGCAGAATACCCTAAATTGAATGGACACACAGGGAGAATGAGACTGTAAAACCTCTTTTCAGGAAGAAATTTAGTACAGGTAATAAACTGAGTTATCATTCCCCCAATGAGAATGCAGACAGCAGTAAATAGCCTGGCTGAATTCTAACCCTTCTCAAAATATCCAAATTTAAAAAAAGAGTAGACTACTACTTTAAAAGCTAGCTATTGAGAAAGATGGCAATTGAGTGTTTAAACAAAAGACTGTTTTTAGATACAAACTTTAAATAACCATGTATGTTAAGAATGCCCAGACATGTATTTCTATGTCTAAGAATGGGAAAAAGAAGCCAAGTAGTCCAGCATCAATCTACACCGAGTGGCCAGATTATTATGACCACCTGACATTTGTAGGCAAATTAGCTATAATTTTGCGCTGAAGTTGCTAGAGGGCCAGACCATTATAAATAGGGAAGCAGGTTGTTTACCATAACAGTAGAAGTGATTTTTTTCTGAAGATATGGGTAAACAACGCGATTTAACAGCCTTTGAACGTGAGATGATTGTTGGCGCTCGGAGCCATGGAGCGAGTATCAGCAAAACAGCTGAATTCGTTAAATGTTCAAGAGCAGCTGTTGTTAAAGTGTTTAAAGACTGGACTGTCAGCCGAAAATCTTGGTCTGAATCGTGCGAATCGTGGCCGTCACTGCATCATATGGGATATAGAAGCCAAAGGCCTGTTCAAACACCTTTGCTGTCTGCAGTTAACAAGATAAAATGTCTCCAATTCGCACAGGGACACAAGGATTGGACAGTCGAGCATTGGAAACAAGTAATGTGGTCCGATGAATCACGTTTCCAATTGCATCATGCAGATGGCAGAGAGAATTTGGCGGAAACAGCATGAAAGCATGCACCCCACATGCATGAGTACAACCCTCCAAGCTGGTGGGGGCAGTGTTATGGTTTGGGGCATGTTTTCCTGGCATGATTTGGGCCCTTTAATTCGTGTGGAACAACGTCTGAATAGCACAACATACCAAAGTATCGTTGCTGATCAAGTTCGTCCTATCATGTTGATAGCGTATCCCAATGGAGATGGCTTCTTCCAACAAGACAATGTGCTATGCCACGGTGCTCGTATTGTGCAGACGTGGTTTCAAGAACATGAGGGAGACTTTACCTTGCTTAGGTGGCCCCCACAATCACCAGATCTCAATCCGATTAAGCAGTTAATGGGACGAAGTTGAAAGAGCCATCAGGCAGCTGGTTCCACAACCATCAAATCTCACAGAACAGACAGTGCTATTCATCAGGCATGGTGTCAGATTCCTCGCATCACCTTTCAACATCTCGTGGAGTCAATGCCAAGAAGAATCGCCGCAGTATTGAAGGCAAAGAGTGGCCCAACGAAGTACTGATGGGGTGGTCATAATAATCTGGCTACTCAGTGTATACACGAAGGAAACAATGTAAAAGCCATCTGAAAGCTAATTCCACAATGAACAGTTGGCTAAGGGGTTCTGCTGCGGACCATAGAAAAGACAAGCTATTGCCAGGTTTGGCCATAACCAGCTGAATTGGTGACATTGCTTAGGGGTATCTTAACTGCGAGAAGAACCAAGCTTACATATATAAATGATGGCTTAGTTTTGCAAAGCAAAACTGGGCATTATGTTGTACTTCTTCCTTGTTATTTTAATGAAAGAGCATGAAATGCCAAGAAAAGGGGATAGCAGGCTTGGAAAATGTCAAGCGCTGTATAACACTGCAACATTTGAGTATTTGAAACCATAGTCATACATATTGGTGGTTTCCAAGCTGGGTTATGTGTAGTAAAGCTGAGTCAGGTCAGAAAGGGCTAATCTCTTCAGGAAAGTCAACAAACGTTCAAAGTGCTGAACTGACCCTTGCTTTTATGTTTTAGGTGGTAGGCATGACATAGCCCGTGATATTATTATGGACTAGGTAATAATCATGTCTCTTTAATACTTTGTTAGATTAATATTATATGCCTTAAATACAAGCTTTATTTCAGTGACCTCTATTATCATAGTTGTTAGGGTGCTGTTTTGGGCTATTGAGCAACGCCACTTCTCTGTTCTTTAAAATACACACAGTTCCTGTTTAGATATAAATATAAGTGTCGCAATCTGGAGTCAGAGAGAGATTCTGTTTCTTTGCTCATGCAGGGCAATTTGTCAGATTCTCTTAAAGGAGAATTATGGGGAGAGTGAAACACACTGAAGCTGTCACCTGTTGGCTCTATTGATCTGATACTTAGCTAACACATGCCGCCGATTCCTGTGTTCCCAATATTCTCCCCGCAGAGAGCCTTGATTGTCGGTCATCACTCCCCACAGGGATTCCCCCCTACCCTCTCTGATCCTGCAGCTCTGACTGGAGTCACAGACAGGGGAGGGTCCTGGCACAGCTGGCTCTGTCTTTAGAGAGGCAGCTGTCAAACAGGTTGCGGGGTGGTGACTGTCAGTCACAGCTCCCTGCAGGGATTCCCCCCTCTTCCCTGACGAGGGGGCGGGTACAGCTGGCTCTAGAGAGGCAGAGCCCGCTGTCAATTAGATGACGGGGTGGATCCCGACAATTATTACGGGATCCTTCCTGGCTGCAGCG